CAAACTTTTTACACAGCATAAGAACATCAATATGTATCAGAAAATGTAATAAAAATTTGAAGTGATTTCAGAGCCATTTTTTCAAAAAAACCATGGGCTATAGCCTTGGGCATTTTTCAGATTTTTAGTGTTTTATTAAAATGGCTATAACTTGAAAAATTGACGCCAGAATCAGCTCAAACTTTTTACACAGCATAAGGACATCAATATGTATAAGAAAATGTAATAAAAATTTGAGGTGATTTCGGAGCCATTTTTTGAAAAAACCATGGGCTATAATAGTACAGTGAATTTTTCAGATTTTTGGCATTTTGTTAAAATGGCCGTAACTTGAAAAATTTAAGCCAGAATTAGCTCAAACTTTCTACACAGCATAAGGACATCAATATGTATCAGAAAATGTAATAAAAATTTGGAGTGATTTCAGAGCCATTTTTTGGAAAAAACCATGTGCTATTATTATTATTATTATTATTATTATTATTACTAATTTCACTTATAAACTCATTACTACTGATTTCTGATCCTATTTCAAATTCATTTTATTATTATTATTATAAAAAAAAAACAAATGGGCTATAGCACAGGGATTTTGTCAGATTTTGGCCAATTTCTAGTTTTAAAACCTACTTGTATTTCTCTGACTTTAGGACACCACAAGGAGCTATTGGCCAGCTAGTCCCTCAAATGGAGCTAAAGTAGATGATCCAGTGATGGGCATATATGTACAGCGATGGGGAGACTCACAGAACACAACTGTTGGTGACATACACAGGTCAATACAACCATACTACAATTACTAATAATGAAATGTAATTTTGCAGGTACGACTATTTTAGTACTTGTAATGACGTTTCAACTTTCCCTCGGCCTCGATTTGCGAGCGAGTTTGGTTTTCAGAGCTATCCTTCATTTTACTCGCTCTCAACGATTTCAAAACCCGACGTAAGCTAGAGACACTATGATGCAATATGTAAAATAACATATTTATACTCTATTGAATGTTATTGCAGGATTGGAGCAATGACTCACCATTCTTTACTAGCCATAGACAGCATCATCCTGACGGTAATAAGCAAATGCAGAACATGATGGCTAAATTTTTTCATCTACCAAACAAGTGAGACTGAAATACTATTATAGCTTGCACATTTCGTGGAATAAAGTTTTAAACAATTTGAGCTTAAATTTTTTTATTCTCACAGTAAATATTATACTCTATAATAAACTTAAATTTATGCACTTGTTCATAATGCATGAAAAATTCCATCTTTTTATTTTATATTATAGTACTGATTCAGTTCAACAGTTTAAAGACTTCATCTACTTATCTCAAGTTGTTCAAGTTATATGCATAGGATCAGAGGCTGAGCATTATCACAGGTTACTGAGTGAAGCTGGGGCATACACTCGTGGTACACTGTACTGGCAACTAGTGAGTATCAGTCATTATATTATGATGGTTGAATTTATTTTAATTTATTGTAATAGAACGATATCTGGCAGGCCCAGACCTGGTCCTCTGTTGAATATGCTGGAAGATGGAAGTTACTGCATTATGCAATGAGGAGGGTAAGTGCTTACCTTATAGTGGGAAATTTCGGAGAGGATTAAGTTTGGTGAATTTGGCATTTTGATAGCCATTCACCAAAATAAAAACCAGCCATTTTGAGTCATTATACGCATGCTCAATGGCACATGGCCACAAATTTGCCAAATTAAAATCTGCCAATCACCAAAATTTAGCAATTCGCTAAAATTTAGCCCTCCAAATTTACCTGCTATACGGTATATACAAACATTGATTTTAAAAATATTTTGTGTCTGTTAATGTACTATAGATTTATTCTGATGTCTCTGTCACTGCGTATCAATTGAATGGCTCTATTGCAGTTTATGTCACTGTCGATGATCCACAGATGACTGCTAAGTATTCACTTTCAGTTGACATCATATCTTGGGATGTAAGACAGTACTATACTCAATAGCTATGTGCTATTGATTGGGTATGATGTATAGGGTAAAACAGTATCTCAGAAGAGTATGCCAAATTTACAATCTGAAGGATTTACAGGAACACAAGTAGCTGAATACAAGATTAGTGATATATTTCAAGGAAGCCTGACAGTAAATGATGCTTATCTACATATTTGGATAACTGAAGGTAAAGCACAAAGCACTACTTAGTACTTTCTACTTAAAATATTAAAAAAGAATAATTTTGTATTAATGCAATATGTATATACATGTAGATGGTTCGAATACAATCCTTTCTTCTACTCATTTCTTTCCTGGAAACTTTACAAAAATAAATCTTCCTTCAGCTAAAATAATAGTCAGTAATGTGACGTCAATATCATCAAATGAAGTATCGGTAAGTCTCTATTATGATATTATCACTAATTATTGCTGAAATATAACTTTAATTTTTGACTGTTTTTAGTTTAGTCTTCAATCTGATGCAACTGCAGTTTATGTGATGTTGGACAGTGGAGCTTTGGAAGGATATTTCAGGTGAGATTATTCTCAATATTTAATACACATGTATACTCAATACTGCAAGTATTGAAAGTGTTCTATTCTTATTGTCTATAGTGATAATGGATTCTTAATGACTCCAAATACAGTCTACAGCATGACTTTCACTTCCTGGTCTGACATTTCAACTCAAGACTTTAGCAAGAACATAGTAACAAGGTTTGTATCAACAATTTGTGGTTTGTATTATCATCAATTATCATGATTATAGGTCACTGGTTGACACTTACTAGTTGCACTCAATTGAACTTAAAACATAATTTGATAAAAAACCAAAATTATTATTATTTCCTTTATGCTGTGCTATTATTGCTGAGATGTGGTGTGTGTGATGTTGATTTTGACAAATTTTGTGAACGAAAAATGGGCCAAAACATGTAGTTTGTAGTTAATGTTTGGCACATTGTATGACGATGAAGAAGAATATAGTATTATCCATTCTATTCATAATTATCAACTGAAATAAAAATAAGAGAACAGTAATACCAAACTACCAATAATAATAAGAGTGAGAGAATAGCATTTAAATTATTATAATTAAATTAATTATGTTAAAATCATATTTCTCTCATTTTATAGAAAATAGTTTTCTGCACTATATGCATGTACATATATTATACACAGTATCGGATCGGCCATCATGATTTCTCATTGAAGGAACTGTGTGGTTGATTCATAGGGTTTTCAGGCGACTTCATCCACTCCTTCCTCACCAACTGCTTCACTTGAGACAGCCTCAGGTTAGGATTCTCAGTTTTCAGTCTGGCTATCTCTCTCTCCTCAAATGCAGCGTAAGAAGCTTTCATTCTTCTCTCTGGATGTCTATCAAGTCCCTGGTCAAGTCCACCAACTTTAAGTACAGCAATTGCTTCATCGACAGTCGCTGCGTCGTGATGGCCCTCTAGAGATCTCTGTTGCATTAAATGATTAGGGTTCTCTATCAATGGGTCTACTTCCACTACTGATTTTGGGAGGGGTGTGGCTCCGCTAGAGGCCTGTGATTCGGCGATCTGTGCTCTTGTTACTTTTGGAGGAGGACGTGAAGAGGCTTTCCCTTTCAAGCCCTGTTCTTCGGCTTCTAGAAGTTTCTTTGCTTCGAGTTTCTTGTCAAGCTGATCTTGACGCTTTCTCTCTCTATCAGCCTATGATAAAAATATAGGAATAAATATAAAATATACATGTATATAGTTATAAAATAATATTAAATTTTGGTTGGGCCAACAGCTTTTAAATTTCAATTTTGATATAGGGCAAGAACAAAGTAAAAAAACAACCAAAAACTACATTCATACTTATTAGACACTTTTTATAAAACAAAATTACTGATTACTTATTACTGATCACAATAAAAAGCGAATGGGCACATTATGAATCTACTCTCTACCTTTCTGTCTTGTTTCCTCGCTACATGTTTATCATCGTCCCTCCAGTACTGGTCTTCCTCTTCTTGTCTTTTTCTTTCGTCTTCTTCTCTCTTAGCCGCTGACTTCCTCTCTTTAGCGGCCACTGCTTTAGAGTTAGGCTCCTTGAACTTCTTGCCAGGCATTTTGAGAAACAAGCCAACAAGTAATTTGAAGTAAAGTCAATTTTTAACCCGTTCACATACCACGCCCCCAAAGCACACCTCCACTTTCTATAAGTTGCAACAAATCCAGTGCTCAGCTTGCAGCTCACAGATCTCACTGCATATTAATTTGCTACTTACTTGTAAGCATAGTTTTTAAAGTTGACAAAATTTAATTTCACTGGCAACAAAAATTTATTGTTTAGCAATACATGCATCAGTAATAATTATCCTCATGTAGCCAAAGGAGCATGAGTGAGTTCCAGCAATATGCTTGCAGGCTTTGTATGCATCACTCACACAACCTGCAACATAAAGGAAAGCAAATAAAAAGAGTAAAATCATTGGAGCCAGTTTTGAAGAACTGTACATGGTTATAGTGCAAAGTACAAGCATATCCTTTATTATTAGTTAACTAACTTTCCCGCCTTTTTTCATTTAAAATTAATTTATTTTAGACAAAAAAACACAAAAATGACAAGACAGAATGCATCAGTTGATTCAGTTCATAATAATCATTAGCTAATATTGTTAATAGTCTAGCCAGTAGTAGGATTACAGGAGATACAGCAGGCATTACGAACAGCTGCTACTGAACACATTGAACTGGGTACAGCTGCACATAAGAAACTCTCACCAGTACAATCAGCTAAAAAAAGAAACAAACAAATAAATAAATAAATACAATACAGCTGGAAATATTAGCAGAGAATTAACATTGGTAAATTGGCAGTTGCAAAGAATACTATGCTTCATAATACTACTAATATAATACTATTCTGAGCATACTAAATACAAGTGGCTCTCTAAATTGTTAATATAAAATCACAAAATTTTTAACAAATTGCCAAACATAATTCTTGCTAGTATTTCCAGCTGTCAGTATGCCAGTTACCATTAGGACAAGGTGATCCTGTATCACACTCTCTTGTGACTGGAGGCTTGGATCTGTTGGAACAGAATGAATCAGGTGCTGTTAACTCAGAGATGACATTATGACATGTTACTGTCCTAGATTGAGTACCTCTTCCACAAGTAACACTGCACTGTAGATAAACAACAACAACAACAACAATAATAATAATAATAATAACAATATGACATTACCAATGTTATGCTTCTGAGCAAAATTGCCTTTTACAAAATGCTCCAAAATTTTGCCCAAAATGAAAAAGATAAAATTCTGAATTTTTATTGCACTTCCTGATACATATACATGTACTTATGTTGCATAAAAAGTTTGAGCTGATTCGAATCAAAATTGGATCTTTTACAAATTTTTAAAGTTTCTCCAATATCTGGTCAAAGTCTCTGTAATGACTAGGAGAGAATTGCATGTACATGTACTCACTGGTCCGTAATGAGACACAAGCCATGAGTATAAAGGAGGGCAGTCTCCCACTCCACAGGCATGGGTAGTATTGGGTCGGGTCAATCCCTCGTCCATACAAAGACTGTCATCAATAAACTGCTGAGTCATCACATTATAGCACCTGACTGTTCGATTCCTCAAACCACCCATGCAAGTACTGGAACACTGTTAATAAAACAACTTAATAACTATTATTAACTATTTATTAACTGACTGGGCTCCACCTATCCACCACGTATTGATAAGGACACAGGTGTATGTTGCATTGTTCAATGGTTCTTGGTTCGGTTCCAGCTGTACAGAACCGGTCATCAATGGTCATATTGGTCACAGAAGACACACAGGTGATGTTCCTGGTACGATAACCTCCATTGCAAATCTTGTTGCACTATAAATGAAAAATAAACTTTTATTTTGTCGAGGGGCAAAATTTTCTTGTGAATCTAACATGAATTCAACACGCAACAGTTAAATTACAAGGACTTGGTACTAAAATTGGAAATCTGTTACACTAAAGTTATTTTGGCCTATAATATATGACTTGTAAAGTTTTTGTTTTAAAAAAAGTTTTTCCTAATACCACCTCTGCAAGTACTGGAACACTATTAATAAAACGCCTTAATAACTCAGGTTAGTTAAGGTGTACTCCATCTTAGTGCTGTACTTTGCAACATAGACCGATCCATCAGACAGTACTTTAAAAAGGTCGTTGGGGTAGGGGGTGGGGAAACATTGCAGCCGCTGTGGTCTGTTAGAAACTGCCATTACACTTAATAATTTTCTTAATGACTATTAGTAAATGCAATTTTAATTTTCATGCATTGAACTTTAAGATCATCATGTAATTACCTCACTCCAAGGACTTGTTACCCACTCAGGAATGACTTCTATAGTTGCTAAAAAGAGTAATAAATAAAATACCAATCAAGGTAATTAATGCACTTACTTTGAAGTACAACATCTCCTGCATCATCGCCTGCAATGTTAGTTGTAATGCAGCGATAAGTCCCTTCAAATTCTTCAGTAAAAGGAGAAATGGTCAATACTGACATATTCCCTGTATTGTTCATAGAGAAGACTGCTAGACTGGTATTAATTTCAGCAGTAAATCCATCAGGCTGTACTCTCAGCCATGTTGCATCAGCTTGGCCTATTCCAGTGAATGGACAGAACAATTTGACACTTCTACCAAAAGTGACATTATTTGGCTCTTCAGATCTACCAGCACCAATGACCACTTCATTAGGGCCAGGAGTTGGTAGGGACTGCTGACGATCAATTCTTGCAGGATCTGTATTGAGAATTCAAATTACAACAGTATTTACCATTGATTATATCAAGAGTACATATGTACTCTTGATTATACTAATTAGGCTAAGTTTTACGAAAATTTTGAAGCATGCAGAAATTAAATCTCCTTACCATAAACTCTGAGGTTTAAAATATCAGAACTATTTCCACAGTCATTGGTTGCATTGCATAGGTAAGTTCCCTCGGCGAAAGAAGAAACAGGAGATATTGAAATATCACTGCCTCTAACAGAGCCTCCCCTATTGTACATTATGGTCGTAGTAGCTTGTGGGTCATTCACTCTGCAGGAAAGAGTGAGATTATCTCCAACAAATGCACAATAGTCCACATCATGAGGTCTTCTCCTAAGTTGATTGCATCTATTACCTTGAGGACTGACTCCAACCAGAGAGACATTCAAATGACCTGAAAGAGGATTGTAACATTTATATATTATACATATATATGTATATAAATTGATCATGTGAGGAAGAAAGTGCACAATTACTCTTGATTATATATAATAGTGTATCTAAGTCATTTCTTAACAGTAAAAACAAAAAATAATTGAGCTCTTTTTACCTTTGACTCTCGAGCTGGCAGTAGAAGTACCAAATGCATTCGAAGCACTGCAAGTATACACATCAGTGTCATTAGCAGATACCCGCAAAAACATTCCATACTGTATTACCCTATCACCAGTAGAGGCAGCAGTCCATGTAAATGTAATAGGCCAAGTACCACTCTGAGTCCAACAATCAATAGAAACAAACTGATGGCCTAACAAACAAACATTGACACCAATATTAACTCCAGTAATTCTTCTTTTTGGAGGTAGAATTAAAGTTGGGGTGCCAGGAGGATTAGCTCTGATCAAAGGAGGGACGCCTGATAGTGAATAATGGATCGGAATTAAACTTTAATATTTGTTGACTTACCTGATGCACTGACAAGTATAGAATCCTCTGCTGCCCCACAATCAATGTTATGAGATCTACAGATGTATATTCCTGAGTCTGATAGAGCAAAGCCCCATATAACAAGAGGCGTATCTGTTGAACTTCCACCAGGTCCACTGATAGTGTATCCTTCATTTGAAGAACAAGAAATTACAACTATCTCTCCATCAAAAGGGCAAAGGTCAGCAGTGGTATTGGTTATACCAGGTCGATTGCATCCATCGTCTGATATATTCAGAGCTGAAATACTCCCATTAATGGTCACAGGAACCTGACCTGCATAAGATGAACATCAGTTATGACAGATGCTATAATCATTTATCTTAATTTAGAACTCACTAATAACTTGTGTAGCTGCCGAGCCCATTCCACAAGGATTCATAACTGCACAAGTGATTGTACTTCCTACATCACTAAGCATAGCATTATAACTGCTACCAGTGACACCACTTATGACACTGTTGTTTCTAGACCATGTTCTAGTTACATTAGTACCAAAGTCAGCATTGCAGTTGACTGTGACTGGATTGCCTGAATTGAGACAGAGCCTTGAGCCAATGTTAACTATTTGATCAATACCAGTCCCTGTTTCTTTTATCAGCTCTATACGACCTGAAAATAAGAGATAAAAAGGTCTTGGATCATAATCACTTCTCCTTTCCTTACCAACAACTTCAGTTGTTGCTTGACTACTTCCACACTGATTACTAGCAGTGCAAGTATAATCTCCAATAGAACTAGCTGCAATGATAGAACCACTTTGACTGCCTCCTCCAGGAGTGGACCAAGAGAAAGTGACATCAGACACTGACTCATTGTTGAATGATAGGTTGCAGACAAGAATGACTCTAGCTCCCACGCCAGTTCTTGAGACACAGGTCCTAGTGCCAGCAGGGACTGGGGTATTACCAGGATTAGTAATAATACCAGTCCCAGGTGCAATAGTTGGAGCATCTGTAAAATATAGAATTAGATGGGCAATTCATAAAGAAGATGCAACACTAAATTTAATGCAAGTATTTTTTGCATACAAGTAATGATAATACTCATATAATATTCACAATAATTATTAAAATTAAATTTGTTAACCTTTGATAAAAGTAGTATTACTGACAGATCCACAGACATTAGATATGACACAAGTGTAATTACCAGAGACAGTGGCTCTCTGTCTAGACCCAGTATTACCACTCTGAAGTACTCCATTAATATACCATGCAACAGCACTGCCTGGTGCAGAGTCACCACATGAAACAAATAGATCATTATCACTGTGTGGGCAAGGAGGAACAATAGTACCATCACTTCTTTGGACAGTTATTACATTTGGCAGACCTGGAAATTCAAGTTACAGAAAATTATTATTGTACACATAGCCAAAAGCAATACCAACTTACTGTACAATATCTTTGTTGTTTCAGAATCATTTCCAAAACGATTTTGAAGGACACAGTTTAGTGAACCTTGCATATTATACTCCAGTAATAGTCCAGGAAAGACATGTATTATATTGTTTAATCCAGTTTCAATACTAAATTGGCTTATGAAAAAATAAGCATGATTTATTGGTTGATTATTAAATGTGTAAAATGAAACTGGCTCAGGATTAATGCTTCCAATCTGAGCACATACCACCCTGACCACAGGTACTGGTGATTGTGGGTCAATGCAAATATTGGTTCCTATTCTTATTGAATTTGAAGGAAGCATTCCAGCACGATTGATTACTGGTGAGAAACCTAAAAATATCATAATTTATACTACAACATAAATATAGATCTGATATCTGATATACCTATGATATTAATATCAACTTTATAAATATTGTGATCATTGTATTCACAAATGAATTCTCCAACATTTGATGGTTCAATTCTTGAAGCTAGTGTTGGATTAGCAACACGTAAAAACTCGCCATTATTTCCAAACATTTCAATCCCATTACTACAGAAACAATTGATATATAGATGCAATTAAAAATATCACACTTACTTTCGAGTTCCTGGTATGAAAACAAGAGGATTAGATTCTAGATCACCATCAAAGCTCCTTCTTCTCAACTTCCACACTGCATTCAAATTGCGTCTTTCAAAACTTGGCGTTACCAAATGGCCACAATCCAGAGTCACACTAACATTCTCAAGTATCCTGATATCAATTGGAGTGGAGCTGTTTGGAAGCTGAACATAAATTCTACCACCTACACAATGCATTATTAGAAATGAACCAATTTACACAATATGTGATCATAAAATTAAAACATATAATGATTAAAGCAAGCAAAAAGGCTGGGTTTAGTCTGGGTTTTGGTGGTCTCAGTGGCCTGGTGTTATAATAAACCACAGGACATGCTATGATTACTTTCAATGGCCTGTCTGCCATCCATAGGAACACTTAGTGTGCCATTCCAGTTATATTCCTCTGTATAGTTGCTGTTTTGGGCAAAAGTAATACCAAACATAGCAACCTGTTCAAATCATAATAATAATAATTATTATTATTATATTCTTACCAGTACTGAGGCAAATAAAACCAAACTCTGCATGTTTCACCTCCTTTTTTTAGTGTAAAAGTAAAACACCAACAAACAACTTGCTATGCTTGCAGCTAAAAGAACCGCAGATAAATTATTTTAATTTGTACGGAATGTAGGCGTGGTTTATTAAGATGTTTTAACCCTTTTCACACAGGATTTTCGTGACCAACACAATTCGAACACAACTGTGCCAAGAATAAAACTGAGCAGTCGGCACATAAAACAGCTCTTCTCCACTTGTTTGTGGCAAGAAGGAAAGAGAAGACATGTTTTCCTTTTGCTCTAACCTACTTCACTGCTTCATAAGCCTATCATGTGTTGTAAGTAACCCACAATAGCCAATCATTATTGTACCTTACTATTTTAAAAGGTAACATTTATTGCAACAGCAGCTTCTGGTATCCTCCTAATACTAGCCTCAGAGGAGCCGAGCAGCTCACTAGGAGAAGGTGGCCCTTATGCTCTTATACCAGGGATCGTCTTTGTGTCAGTTGCTATAGTGACGGTACCATTAGGAATCTATGGATGCTTAAGTGTTCGTAACGATAGCTCAAAAAGATTAGTAATAGTCAGTTTATAATAAATTGTTGTTTATTTTTGTTTGTGATGCATGTGACATTATGTCACGTAATAATATTATTTATGTTTATTTTTTTCTCTAGTATACTGTTATTGCAATTCTTGTCTCAATTGTCATTCTTTTGTGTTCAAGTGTCCTCTTCACTTTTACTTACACTAACATGGTAAGACAGTATCATATTCAGCATTATTAGTTATGAGTAAGGTGTACATTATTCATCTTTTGTCTTTTATAATTACCACCTCATTCTCTCTCTGACATTTTGTCTTTCTTTTGTCTCTTCATTTATTCTTTTAATTCAAATTCTCTCTCTCTTTTACTTCTTCTCTTTTACTTCAGATTAGTAACAACCTAAACTCCACTTTATGGTCTGAATTAAGGAAGCCCAACAATTCAAATGATACCAGCAAGATGTTTGATATACAGACTAAAGTAAGTCTTGTTCTCTCTCTCCCTCCCTCCCTCCCCCTCTCTCTATACATGATATGAAGTTGAGTTGTATGCTTGGAACATACTATGTACCCACATCTGCCCCATTGCTCATCTTAATTTGATAATATTCCCATGAATTCCCTCACTACAGTACTCTAGTAGTACTAATACCAAGTACTCATATTCTCTATTGTAACACTGTTAGTGTGTTTCTGCTGTTAGTGTGTGTGTGTGTACTACTTGTGGTGGTTGCTGTTAGAATATGACTACTCATTGGACCTTAATGTTCCCATTCTTACTAGTACTATGGGATCCACTCAGTCACTATGATAGAACAGAGTATAAATTAAAAAATAATTTTATGTATAAATAAAAAGCTCAGTGTAAGCCTTATTATGTATGGGAATTAGCATTCGAATTTTTGAGAAACTTTTAAAATTCGTAAAAAATCCAATTTTGATCGGAGTCAGCTCANACTTTCTATGCAACTTAAGTACATGTATATGCAAATGTAATAAAAATGGAGAATTCTCACCTTGTCA